TTACGCCACCCTTGTACCCCTTCAGGTCGCAACCCGCACTTTGAGAAGCGGTGTATTAACCTTTTTTGCTCTACAACCTGTTCAGGATACGGCTGCTGTGGCCGGCCGCAATTTAAGAGCGGTTCATGGCCACGGGCGATACGCAGTATCTGTGTGCTGGCCACGATTTATGGAGGGCGCGGACGTTTATAAATATTCTATGCGCGGATACTTTCGCTGAAGGTTAGGGATGGGGCGACGCGGCCGGCATTTTTACAAGCTTTTGTTTCTTGCCTTGTTTGTATGGCGGCTAACTAGCTGTCTGGTGCATATTGGCGCACGCATTTCCATTGTTATCTACGCATCGTTGTACACTTTCTGTGGATCCTGTTAGGTAGACTTTCTGTCAAGAATAATGAATGAATCTCCAATTAGAAGTGAATAAGAAGATAGTAATGCTATTATAATCTCTACACACCGACATCGGGGTAGATTTTCCATGCAGTAAAAGATAAATAGCATTCATGAAAATTAAATAAAAATTGTCAAATCAACCAAAATTTTCATCTATAAGTAAAGAAAGTGTAAAGTGTAGTGAACAACAAAGAGCTTTATCTATCTCTTTTGAACTCTACTTGAAACTGTAAGGTCTATTTATTCTCAAACATCAAAAGTAGTTTAGATATTCATTGATACAATCCCTGGCTGCGTGTGCTCATCGCTAACTACCCGCCCCCGTAAGTGCGGCTGACCGATCGCCAGCGCCGGCCGATTACCGCTGCCCTTTACTTTCAAAATAAAATAACGCTAAAATCACAACACTTATACCTCTTCCATCGAACGCCCCGAGGCCAAAGATGGCTGATAGGTCTTAGTTCTGTATAGGTGTCAAGTATTTTTTACGTTTTTATTGGATAGGAAACTCAGCAAAAATTCCTGTTAAGAAGCACAGGACATTTTCGAAAAACAATTCATTATCTTAGCCATTTTGAGAATGTGCCTTTGCCTTTGGGATGAGGCTGTTACTTTTAATGACTCTACATTTCAGCCAGTGAGAAACAGTTTATGAAATAACAAAACCAACCGACACTTAAACCGAAGCATCAAACTCGGTTGACTCAGCCACAAAAAGTTCAAGCCCGAGGAACTGGTCTGATCCTTCTTTGAACCCGTAATTCGAGCCCCAATTAAACAATTTTCTCAAATATCATTCCGTTTCATTTGGCCGGTCGCCTGACCCGCGGGCACGCGCATTAGAGTCCCGAATCGATCCCGTTCGTAACCTCCATTATACTAAACATGCCCTCCAACCACAAACCACATCCGAAGGTTAACCGGGTCGACCCTTCGCTCTAAATCTAATTCAGCCCTGTCTCACAACGTGAAATGCGCTAATTTCGTTATTTATTACTCCCCCATTTGCATAAAGAATCGGCCTCAGAACAGTAATCTTAAAAAGACGAGCCCTGCAAATTGACCTGTCCTTCAACGCGAGCGCGGGCGCCGCCGACCTGTCGCCGCTCCGTAATTCCGTTCCCATGATCTAGCCAGTAGCTATCTCACTTTAATTATTCATAGAGTTTTTTATACGCTATCGCTTTTTACTGGCTAGCGGCCGGCCGCTTCGAAGCCTTATAAAATTAAAAAATAAAATAATCGAGCGCCGGCGCAATTTAAAAAAGGAATACGTCGCATGACACGGATCGAACTCCGGGCAAATGTCGCGGTGTAAAAAGTGGTCGGACGCGGAGGGGGGCGCGGGGAGGCAGGACGTCACGTAGGCGGCGCGCTTTTTGTCAACGTTCCCGCGGAGATGACAGGTCGCTGGACGCTGCGCCCGCGCCGCGACCCGCCACGAATCGTCTTGATGCTTTCTATTTTCAACCGACTTCAAAAAAAGGAGGAGGTTCTCAATTCGACCCGTATGTTTTTTTTTTTTTTTTTTTCTATTTTTGTTACGCGATAGCTCCCCCAATTATGAACCGATTTGAACAAATCTTTTTTCAGCGTATAGGTAATATCTCAAGGGTGGTCCCATTTAAATTTAATAATAAAAAAAACAACCCCCAAGGGTGGAAAATTGGGGATGAACTTTTTTATACGCAATATCTCCGCCGATTGTAAACCAATTAGAACGATTACTATTTTGTTGAATAGGTATTATCAAAAGGGTGGTTTCATGCGAATTTGAAGAAAATATTTCACCCCCAAGGGTGGAAAATTGGGGATGAACTTTTTTATACGCAATATCTCCGCCGATTATGAACCAATTTGAACGATTATTTTTTTGTTGAATAGGTATTATCAAAAGGGTGGTTTCATGCGAATTTGAAGAAAATTTTCACCCCCAAGGGTGGAAAATTGGGGATGAACTTTTTTATAATATACATTAAGAATATGGTCTCAATGTACTGCCTACCTTCAGTGGTAACATCAAGGTAATAATTAGTCAACTAAAAAGCAAGAAATAAGTTAAATTTTATAAAAAAAAATAAAACCGACTCCAAAAAACCTACACTAAAAAGCAGAATAATAATTACTAATTACCTACTTATTTATTAGGACGAATTATTAATATTTATGTAGGTATACCATGATTGATACTTTTGGAGTCGGTGCAGGCAAACTTTACATGTTTCATAATCTTGGCACCGACTCCAGAAGTATCAATCATGGTATACCTACATAAATATTAATAATTCGTCCTAATAAATAAGTAGGTAATTAGTAATTATTATTCTGCTTTTTAATGTAGGAAATTTGGTGTCGGTTTTATTTTTTTTTATAAAATTTAACTTATATTCCCTACTTTCAGCTTGCTACTGTTGTTTGGCTATTTCTTAGTTTTAACGCAGAAATACACGGTGAAGCATGATTCTTGAAAAACTTTTCAGCTACTGAATGATAAGCACTTGGTTTTCAGGTACTGGAATATTACAATACTACCGTTATCGCACTTATGTTTCTGCAAATTAAGATATTATTTACTTACTGTTACTATTCGTATATTTTAACAGTTAAAGCATCTCACTTAATTGCTTTTACTGAATCGATCTCATAAAATTAATTCAGTCGGTTGCCTTTGCTACTTTAAATGCTTAATTTTATCACATGGACACATTAATAAAATTAGCTATGCCGTATTATTTGTGTCCAAATTGACATTTTATCTTAAATATTCAAAGTACCTAAACGGTTTGACCGCGGTACACGGGATGACTTCGCGACAGGTGCGCGCGCGCCGAACACTTAGCTGTTTATTAAACTCTTTAAAGACGGAGGCTGTAATTATTTGGACCTCGGTTTTTCAGGTTCATTGTCATTGCGTACGATAAAATCTCTCTGACATATCGAAAGTTTTTAGTCACTTTTCATGGAATCTCGATGGTTCCAAATAGGGCTTGAATACCGGAATTCCGGAATTTCGTAACTCCGGAATTTCGGATACATTTTTTCCGATATTTCAATTCCGGAACTGAAGCCAATATCGTATTCCGATATTGAAATTTTACATAAATTATTTTAAGTTTTCAAAACGTTTAAGTATCAAAATAGGTTCTTAGATAAGGAAGTCCTCGAGATAAAATATGTATTCGCAACTTTATTAGTAATAATATTAAAGAGGCAATAGGGCGAAACCAAAGCTCCAAAATGTTCGCTAGAGACAACTCTAATGGGCGAAGCCAGCTGAAGAGAGCGGATGATAGAGTAAAACCTGTTAATAGCTCAGCCACAGGACAGTTCCAACAGCTAAGCTAACTCGACACTATACCGAAGATTAGCCGGACATCAGCCCTTGCGTGATTAGGATGGCTCTCAAACAGCTAAAGAACAACAAGGCACCGGGTGATGACGGAATAACCTCGGAGCTTCTGAACGCGGCAGGTGATAAGCCGATACTGAAAGTCCTTCATAGACTAACTCCGTCTTACTCCAGGGAATAATGCCAGAGGCACGGAACAAATACTTGGTGGTGTTTTTCTTTAAGAAAGGGGTAAAAGCCTTATTAAGGAGAAAGGAGAATTACAGACCCATCTGGGTTCTGACTCTGAGTCATGTCTACAAGCTGTTTTTGAGAGCCATCACGAATAGTCTCGCGCGTAGGTTCGATGACTTATAGTCTCTCGAGGAAGCCAGTTATCGAAACGTTTACACTACCATATACCGCATCTATACGCTACGGCAGGTTATACAGAAGACCGAAGAGTCTAACTTGCCTATATGCTTGGCGTTCTTAGACTATGAGAAGGTCTTTGAGCCTGGCTGAATACGAGGGCGATTCCTCTGCGATTCCTCTGCAGCGAGCTGTGAGGCAGGGAGATGTAATAATACGTCGAATTCAACTCGGCTGGGCAGCGTTTGGGAAACTACATAACATCTTTTCGACCAAAACACTTCAGTGCCTAAAGACGAAAGTCTACAATCAGTGTGTGTTACAAGTAGTGATGACACACGGTTCGGAAACGTGGCCTTTTACTATAAGGCTTATAATAAGCTCAAAGTTGCACACCATGGTATGGAGAGTGCTATGCTCGGTGTTTCTTTTCGAGATCGAACCAGAAATGAGGAGATTCGTAAACGAACTAAAGTTGCCTGACATATAGCGATCGGATTACCAAGCTAAAGTGGCAATGGGCAGGGCACATAGTACGTAGAACAGACGGCCGATAGGGCAAGGTTCTAAAGTGGAGGCCACATACGTGTACGTGTTTATCGGGAGGCGCTTTCTTTTTTAACCAACTCCGGAACTAGAACCGGAATTCCGGAGTTGAGTGCCCAATATCGGAAATCAGTTCCGGAGTTGAAAACTATCCGATATTGCAAGCCCTAGTTCCAAATTCATGTATTACCTATAAATATCTATTTTTTAAATAAATAACTTGAAAAAATCGAATTGCCTAAGGTGGGACTCGAAACCACGATGGTTCGTCGTTTGAGTTAAATTTAGTTTGAGAAACGACTCTGTTCGCTAAGAAATTTTAATGTCTATTTTATCTAACATAGTTTTTCCTTCTTTCCAGAATTTCCGAGAGCAAAGAATTGACGGTGCCGGCCTGCCACTCCTGACTGAAGACCACCTAACCGGTATGCTTCAGATGAAGTTAGGGCCGGCCCTCAAGCTGCGGGCCGTGCTCGCCCGCCGCCTGGACCCCTGCGCCCAGTGCCAAGCCCTGGCCCCGGCGGCCCCGGCCACACCGGCCCCCGGCCCCCGGATAAATGGCACAGCACTAAAATCTGAACCGAGGAGCAACACTACCAGTCCTAGTTAAGACATTCTCGTATTCTTTAGACTTACTTTTACGTCTCTACTTCACTGTAGCGCTTTCTTAGCAGAGAAAATCGGATGTTACATCTACTTACTACTTAAAAATCTATGTCACTCATATTTTCTTTGAAATCAAAGCTATGCACGGTATCGCATCACAAAATCAAATCACAATATTTCGGAATAAGGTAAACGTACCGATTGCGGTCACGAAACCAATTACGAGCCATGCGTTTTCACAAATATCAAAAATCTTATTTAATTACCACGATAATCTTTATGGGAATTTCAGATGATGCGTAGTTTGTGATCAAACGTAGATAAGGTTAACGTTTATCTCCGAGATAACCGGGAATTCGTCGTAATAAAGACTGGTTGTTTGCCTTTCGAATAAGCAGCATCCCATGTTAGACATAATAATTCTAGTTAAATTTTAACTACGTTTAGTCAGAGTTCATGAGTGTAAAGTCTTCCTGTTTTATAGATTTTTGCATTTAGTTACGTTTTAAGACGCTTTAGGATTAATAGTTAAGTTTTGCAGAATATTTTCTGTATATAAATACATTGAATGTTGTGTATTGCCGTCCAAATGTGTTAAATTTATAAGGATCGTTTTTGTATGTTGGTGTACGTTTAAATCTGACATCAATAGTTTGATGAGTAATAATAATAATAAATAATAGCTTATGTAAGTTTTGTAGTAATGTTACAATGTTTTAATTAAATAAGATAAAATTACACATATTGACTACATCTTCAGCTGAAATCTAAACGGTAGCTTATAAAAGACAGTTGAGCTTTACTAAAGCTTCGATCGGCCAAACTGTAACATACAAAAATAATCCTGCTATTGTATAAAAGCATATCTTTCGGTGCTAAAGGACCCTGACTTAAAGTTAAAATGTTAAAAATGTAGAATTTATATTTGTACATAAAGCCGTAAAGTAGTTTTACGTACTATGTTGAGGCTACTACGTCTACATCTTATACAGGGTCACAAAGTTATAAACTGTATAGTTAAACATATAAAGATATAGTTGTATGGTACGTTGCTAATTCTTAGCATTTATTTATACCACACCTGAAGAAAGCTCAGTAAACCGACTACAGTAATCGTATAGCTAACGAGTGTATAATTTAGATTTACTTGTATAGTATCATTTGATGCATCCACGATTTGCAATTAGTATTTTTTGTAAATAAGTTTGAAAATAAATTCAAAATCATTCCTGCTCAGTTATAGATATAAATAGATTCACACACAAGGTTCTGTAAAAAAGTTTTACCTGTGGTAATCTCCTTAATTGCCAAAATAGCGTAAAGGAAATCAAGCATACTTAGTAGTTAATGGTATATAGATTCAGACATACGAAAGGAAAATATAAGGTGCTATTGTTGGTGTGTACATAGAGTTTTAGTCTCAGTGCCTGGATCCTGGTCTTCCTTATATTATATAAGAAAATATTTTTATAATAACGTTTTCAAAAGTATTACGGTTCTACGCTTTAAATCTGAAGTTAAATAATACATATTAATACTTACATAGATTATAATGAAGAGACGAATTTTTGTAGGTGTCTTATTAGCATAGAGTCCAGACCCCTGCTTTTATTTTAACTAATGTTATTATATGGACCAGTGACTTACGAACTTGTACATTTGTATGTATAGAATATTTTTGATTGTCAAGTGTATTGTGTAAATTGACAATAATAATGTGTGTGTGTGGGATTTACAGTCCAGGTTTAAATAGCTAACAGATTAATAAAACAGTAATACAAAACTAAATACTAAACAACTGCTATTGGGAAAGGCTTTTAACACTGCAGTTGTTGAATCATGGTAAGACAAACGATTTAGGATCTATTCAAGATCTTATTGTAAAATATTTTTAATACCAGCAAATTACTACTTTGTCTTACCATGATTTTTCCACTGATGTCGTTCATTATGCAAGGTAAAAATCAACAAATTCACCGAAGATATTGAATTTTTGGTCAGTTAATTAACTAAGATAATGCCAATGATTGGTGCTTTTACCTTGATTAGAATACGATGCCTTTAACAAAGCAGTCTAGCGCATTTTACACTGTATCAGTTAACCGAAAGCAAATATAACATAATAAAAAGTTTGGTAACCGACACTAAAGTGAACATTTAACCTGCGACTCATACATACAAACAAGACTATGTTTTTGTTATATGTTAGTGTTAATGATTGTGTATAACGAAGGTTTAGTCACTTTGTTAATCCTTGCGAACATGTACTTAGATAATGTAGCTTGTTTAGCGTTAATCGCGGATTAAGTTTAATCCAAGTTTAAGTATTTATGTGGAGAGAATAAAAACAATGATTTTATTGAAACTAATTTTGTTGTTTTATTTGTACAAACCATCTTAAAATAAAGTGCAATTAAAAAGACATAATATTAACCTAATATAGGTAATTCTTAACAATAAACATAATTTTCTATCTTAAAACTGATACATGAGTACTGACTACAATGAATGATACTGAAACAATGATTTTATTGAAACTAATTTAATTGAGTGTTAAAAACAAAAATTCTTGATTTCATGTGTATAGCCTGACCAGGAACATAAAAACCCTGGCATAGAGGCGCGTCAATTGCATTTGATAGTGCAACACTGAGTACAGTCGTACCTGTGTTAAATTAATAGGCTAACTTTATGTATCAGGATTCAGGATTACGGGCTAATTTGATATTTTCATAAATTAACGAAAAAATATTATTATAGGTAACCTGGTTTAAATAAATTAAATGAAACCATCAATCGAGCTAGTAGGATTTATTTTATTATTCATCAATAATCAAATTCAGAACTTGAATATTCAACTGCAATGTCTGCTCATGAACGCTTCAAACTCGGTACTTCTTTCCCAATTCCATAAAATTCAACACTTAGAAAGTGACAAAAAAATTTAAAATTGGTAGTTGAAACAAACTACAGCTAATTTTCATAGTGGACTGTACTATACGATAAACATGTCAGTCAATTTGACAACCTTTGTCGGAAACATTATTCAATGAAAATATTGTCCGAACCCTTAGTATTTCTCTTTGACAAATACTTTAACACATTGTGAACCACTTTTCTATCACGACTATAAAAAGATTTTAGCAATTTAATTCACAAAATCAATTGCGCAAATTTAAAATAAAGTTTGTTTACACTTTGACAGCAATAGACTGACATGCAAGGTGACATTTCAATGAAGTTTTCAGTTACTGTTGCCATTAAAAGAAATTAGTACCATTAGTTTTCCGCAACATGGCGAGGGTTTTTATGTTCCTGGTCAGGCTATACCTACTTAATCGTCATCTTCATATCCATATACTTTGTAGATTACTTTATCTTTGAAGCACTAGCAGTGCGCGATCTTTACTATTAACTTATTATTCATAGCAATAATCGATAAAATCATAAAATTACTTTGCAACAATACTTTATTACGCTCCGTTATTTGATTACTGGCGTTGTTAGCATCCTCATGAATTACAGCAGCTTATATCCCAATGATTACGCGGTAATTAATAATTTGCCGTAATAACCGAGGAATATTTTACGCCGCGGGTTATAACGTATAGGATTTACAAACGGCCATAAATATATTGATGGCCATAATAAAGTTGGCTCACTCAATTAGTTTTCTCCCTTTATACATCTATAAATTAAAAATATACGCAACTAATGCATATTTATTTGGATAATTTCAATAATGGTACGTTTGGATACTGTCATATATCACGCTGGTTATGTTTTAATTACAACGTGTTCCTGGATTATTTTATACAAAATATGTGTTTTATGAGGCAATAAATAGCAGTGATTTTACACGTTTTAATATGCACATAAAGTATAAATGTTTCCGCGGTCCAGCTTTAAAAGTTCGATTAGAATTTCATTATTACTACATTCCTAGAGAACACAATCCATAGTTGACGTCAAATCAGGATACAATTTTATATGTGGCACTTAAATGTAATTGTAACAATATGGATGTTTCCTGGGTCAAAAAGCAAGAGTTTTAATTAGTCCGTCAGTTAACTTATCAAAAAATACTCTACACGTATTTTTCACTTTTTCAAACTAATGAAAATTTAAAGAGATAAAGAGCGCCAAAGTTCATAAGAAGAGGCCCGTGACGTCAATGCGTGCATAAAAGTGCCGCACGTTGTGACGTCGTGCGGAACTTCAACGCACCTAACTATGTAATTATTTGTTAGATTGATAAATAAAAATATATGTGTCCAATATTTTTTGATATTAAACATTACGAGTGAAGAGGCAAATCCTTGGAACTAACTTGGAGAATATTCTTCTTCAATCGCGTTCGTTCTTCTCTGCCACGAGTTCAAAGTTCCTCTCGAGGTGGTGCTTGCGCTTCGCCCTGAACTCCATCAGTTCTATTGTGGTGTAGCCGGAGAAACCCACCAAGAGTAGCCCGAGGAGGATCAGTAATCTAGACAAAAATACAATTAGTATGGAAATTAGCTTACCACAAAGAAGTAAAAGAGTTGGTTCTGATAACTCAAATAATAGGGCATTAGAGTTCAAACATTACATAAAAGTATTTTTCATAAAAACTCCCAACAGCGACTCATTAAGTGATATTAATTAATAATTGAGAATTTATGATAGTGGTCTTGTATGAAAAGCGTTGTTGTGTGTGAGCAGTAGAATCAACTCTTTTCATTTGAACATTTAGCAAACAAACTTCCTGCATATTACGTGGGCCTTATAAGACACATACGCTTCGTTTTCATAAGAAAGTGCCGAAATTTGGTCAAAATTTAATAAAAATATTTCGCTAGCTATTTGTGCGTCTCGGCAAGGCAAGATGCTTTATTTGCAAATGATCGCGCGTCGCCGAAAAATCGCGAGTTTGAAAAGGCTCTGTGACAAATCTTATACTAAACAAATCATAATCCAACAACAGAAACACTCACCTAGTCCTCACACAGAGGTACGGAGCTGTAGCATAAGACAGAACGCTACCAGTCGCTTCCCACAGCCTAAAGTTGGAGTATGCAGCCTCTTCGTCGCCGGGGAACAGAATGCCGGACAGTGCTGCAACAGCATTTTTACATGAGAGTGAATAAAAATGGACTCATAGCTATGAGACGGATTCGAACAAAAGTCAAAATATAATCCAACGTAATGTTCACGAGAAAGAATATTCCTGACAAAAAAGCTCTCACTTATCACTTAAAATGCCTATTCGGCTCTGCCCTGAGGTACAGGAGTTATCTTCATACGGCAAAGAGTGTCAAAATACCGCACGCTATCTAAAAACATATTATAGAACTTTAAAAAAAATCCGTCCTGAAAGTTTTACCATAAGGACGCCGACAGCAGTCTCGAACAAGGCTTTTAAAAGACTAATGCCGTATTCATCATCAATCCCTAATTTATAAGTGATCCCTATGAAAACCAAAATTCCTGTCATCTGTTAGGGGTCACTTAAAAAATAGGGATTGATGGTGACGGGCATAAGGCCTTCACTGAAACAACAAAATTAAATGTGCTTACCATTAACTTGTACGAGCCACACAGCATCAGCGGTGCCCCATACAGCTGCCAGCGCGAAGAATACCAGCCATTGGTCAGGGCTTGGACGCCAAAGCAGGAGCGCCGTGATGAGGCATAGGTTCAGGATCTATTGACACAGTTTTATGTCATTTTGAGTAAGTAACAATCAAACGTCTGCAAGTATCTGAAAATGCTACCACAAACCTATTATGTTCTTATCAATCTGGGAGTGGGTTTGTCTTTTAAGTGATTTAAAAGTGAGAAATCCCACTTGGGAATCGAACTTATAAAATAATAATCAGTCCAAGAGAATCTCACTCACATACACTTAACGTTTGATACGAAATAGCCATTAAGAAAGCTAAGCCATTTCGCATTTAAGATGTTTGTCAACAAACAGATCACTATGATGTTAATAAGAAAGGAATATGTGATTGTAATTGTCGATATGTAGACAATAGATACTTCGACGTTCGATAGCAAGTATGAAACCCCGATAACGGTGCATTTTGTATGGAGTTTGATAGCTTTTTGATGTTTGCTAAAGTTAAAGTAAGATGGTGCAACCCAGCTTAGGTCTTACTATCTAGGGGTGCGATGGTGAGGGACCTCCTCGTGGTACACCCTGGGCAACGTCCGCGTGGTCTGTTCACGCGGGTGGCTAACCTCTCACCTGCGCGGCAGGTCTCGTCAACTCGGCGGGCCTGTCACGCAACCCGTAACCTACAATTGAGTGGGCCGGGGGCCGTCGAGGTATTTGCCCGTGCTACGATGAAGGGGGCATCTTTAAAAACCCCCACAGGTGTGTCCATTCTTTTGAGGGCCGCTCTTGGCACTTCTCTGATCAGCAGAGCTGACTGAGCAGCGGCATGGAGCAGACCGTATCCCGCTACGGCGGGCCGGGGGTCCTGTTGTACCAGAGCCGCGAGGAGAAAACCTCTATAAAAAACACCTGGAGGAGGGGATTAGGGTCTTACTATCTACGAGCCTATCCGACTCTTTGCTCTCTGCACTTACCAAAGCAGTAATCATGACGGGGTACCGGCCGGTGAGCTTGACGACGGCGCCGGCGACGGGCGCGGCCAGCGCGTTGAACACGCCGAAGCAGATCATCACGTAGCCGATGTTGTTGATGCCGTACGCGCAGCCTACGAACGCCTGAGAGAATTACAGGATTACAGGGTCTAGACAAAGTGCACATTATAATCGCAAACCAGTCGAAAAATAGTCGAAGGGCCTTTTTTTTGGTATGGAATTATGACGGATTCGATTTTCGATTCGATCAAAAAGTGCAACTTGCCATGGGTCACGTACCGGAAAGCGCAGTAGGACGTCCACAGATAGATTATAAATTGAACAGATCATAAATTGTTTTCAGTATTTTTAACATTTGCGATTACCTATAAATGGCTAAGCAGATACATAATTTAAGGTCTCATTATTTGTATTGTATTGCTGTTGGTTTTCCAAATAAAATAAAAAATAACCCGCGGTCGTTTTATGATACCGGATAAAGTTCGGTATTACGTGTCATAGCGCAACTAAATTATATTCTAAAGAAAGCAGATCACCAAGTAGCCGATGTTAATCTGTACGCACAGCCTACAAACGCCTGCGAGAATATTAAGTTACAAAATGCACAAACATAGACACTTTGTTATAAACACGGCACACCATCACAGGAAACAGAGTTGTTATATGGTGTAAATTACAAGCAACTAGGCACTAAAAGTGTCCACGTCTACGTAAGAATAATTAGTCATAATCACTGGTAACATATAATAAGAGTAGCCAAAATGTTTTGATGCCGAAC